AGGAGCCCTGGGAGACACGGGGGCCCTGGCTCTGAAACCCCGCCCTGTGGGTGCTCAGGGATGTTCAAATGCAACTCGTGAAATGCAGCATCTGTACACGGGAAAGGGCGCCAGGACTGAGGGTGACAGGGAGGAAACGGGATCCTCTGGTGGGGAGTCTGTCTCAGCTGGCGCCTGGGGTCGGGAGGAGGAGGCTCCAGTCACCTGGCACTTAGTGCTGGCTGCAGGATCTGGGGGCCCAGGCAGCGTGGCGGTGGGGCACCTCCTGGGACAGGAGCATACCGTGGAGAGGGCAGGCTGCTCTCTGGGAGAGCACACAGACGTGCCCCCAGAGGGAGCGGGCAGCCTGGTGGCGATGGTAGTCTTGTCCCGCGAGAGCACCAGGCCTTGAGCTGGAAGTCCCAGCTTGCTAAGCAGCACGGCCAGGTGCCCTGTCCAGCTCCCTGATGGGGGCAGGTGAAATGGTCCTGGCTCCTCCCTCTGCAGAGCTGGGGGGCCAAGGGGAGAGGTGGCAGCAGTTCGGAACCCCTGACTCCAAACTCACCAGCAGCGGAGCGTGGCTGAGGCCAGCAGCACTGGCAAAATGAACCGCAGCTGGAAGCACTGGGCCCTGTGCTGTAGGACCATCCCCATGACCATGCACCGCAGCAAGTAGGAGCTGACCGACTCCTGGAGCCTGACAGCCCGCTCAGGCGCCGGCTCTGCCACACTGAGCGTTGAAAAGCCTGGTTGGCGGCTATAGCGTGCAGGCTTTGTTTTCCAGGCCTTCACAGAACAGCAGTGTGTCTCCTGCTCACTTAACAACCCCGGTTAGGGTTCAAGCGGGCAGGGCAGTTCTCCACGGGGAAGAGCTCAGGCTCTTTATTTCAGGGGGTCTGCTGTACCCCAAGGCCCTGTTGTCTTCCATCCCCAGAAAGTGGTGGAGGAAAGGAATTCAGAGGAGGTAGGCCCAGCTCTCTTAAGGGACCCAGAAAAGCCAGAGGTGCCACTGAAGAGAATGTGGGCACATGACCACACCTAAGTGCAAGGGAGGCTGGGAAATGTAGTCTCGTTGTGTGCCAGGCTATAATCCCATTTTTATAAAGGATGAAGATGATGGTTTCTACAATATTAGCATCTTCCACAGATGGCAGCTCAAGCGGTACTTCCTGGGGCAGCTGCAGCTGGGTCCCACCCGGACCTCTCAGCACTCCCGGTTCCCATGCCCGCAGCCACGCTCCATTCTCTGCTGGGGGCTTTCTCTGTCCTCCGGAACTCACTAGCCCAGCAGGGGATGGTAAAGCCCCAGGAGCTCCTCCCATGATGACTTGCAGCAGTTGGTGTCTGACTGCTTAGCACCCTGGTCACCCAGGGGGTGGGTAGCTCCAAGGCTCCTGCTCTATGAAAACTTCCAGAGGTCCCCGGCGGGACTGAGCCCCAGTTGCCCACAGTGGTCATCTGCTCAATAACACACCCCAAAGTCGCTCCCCCTGCCCTGTCTCCCAACAGAAATTATGTAACTAGACAACCAAGAGGTCCGTCCTGGTCACCTGTCACTACCTGAGCCAATTAAGCAGAGACAGGGTTGAATCATACATGAATGTTTATTCCCATACTGCCTTCAGGATGGGAGAGCAGCAGGTCACCCACAAAATCTGCTCTGTGCCCCACCCTTGTCATAAGCCAGCTGCTTATATTGGGGAGAAGGACAAAGATTTCGTGGGGAAGTAGGCCAAAGGGCATGCCAAATGGGCAGTTTACAGGCAATGCAGGCTGGAGATTTGCAAAGGCTTATGGGTATGCAAAGGGTGAGGGTCTTCAATGGGCTGCCAGCTCTGGCTTCTGCAACAAGCCTGCTAATGTTCCATGAGAATAGGCAGCTCCCGGATGGGGAGGAGTGTCCTCATTTCCAGGGGAGCTCCCAGGTCCCGTGTGCAACGCCCAGCCAGGTTAGAAAATGCCTTCTTCAATCAGAACAAAACAGCCGCAGTTCACAGAGCACGATTCTGATTTCTTATAATGATAGCTGGTCCCCAACATCCTACTTCTGCCCTGATCACCTTCTGCCGTCTCCGCACATCCTTGGAGTTGGCTTCTGGAAAGATTCACATCGAGTCTCGTCTTCAGGGTCCTTCCCTGCCCACCCTGTCTGTAGGGGGTTGATTGTACCCCCAGAGAAGCTGTGCCCACATCTTACCCCTGGAACCTGAGAATGGGGCCTCATTGGGAATAAAGTTTTTTTGCAGATGTCATTTAGGACCTAGCAACTGGTGTCCTCATAAGGAGAGGACACAGGCAGAGGGAGGGAGGCCATGCCAGGACCCGGGAGAACGCCGTGTGCAGACAGAGGCTGAGGTTGGAATGATGCCTCTGCAAGCCAGGGAATGTCAAGGACGGATGGTGGCCCCCAAAGTCAGGACAGACATGGGACAGATTCTGTCTCAGAGCCCCCCGAGAAACCAGCCCACCTGACCCCTTGGCTTTGGAAACCTGACCTCCAGAACCGCTGGAGAATGAATTCCTGTTGCGTTGGCAGCCCCGGGAAACAAATGCACATCTAAGCAGTTCCGCACATTGATGGAGCATCTTCCCCTGAAAGTATTGGGGTGGCATCTGCTGTGTCCCCCACCAGAACGAAAGAGGTCCTCCCTGTCTCCTTCCCTCCACCCCTATCTCCAGCCCAGGACTGTGCCGGATCCATGATAGGCTCTCTCTATGTAACTGATCCATGAACCCAAATGAACCCCGGTCCAGTGGTCCTTGCTCACTCCTGCTCAGCTCCCACCTCATCTAGAAGACAAAATGCCGCCCTAGCCAGTTTGCTCAGTGGATAGTGTATCAGTCAGCCTGCGGACCAAAGGGTCTCAAGTCCGATTCTGGTCCAGGGCACGTATCTCAGTTGCAAGCTCCTCCCCGGCCCCGGCCCCAGCCAGGTTGCATGCAGGAGGCAACCAATTGATGTGTTTCTGTCACATGGATGTTTCTCTGTCTTTCCCTCTCTCTCCCACTCTAAGAGATCAATGGAAAAATATCCTCGATGAGGATGAACAGAAACAGAAGGCAAAAAACCATCCCCAGCTGGTCTTGCACGGCTGGGCTCTCCAGACCTGGGAGCTCACCTGGAGCTCTCGACCGACTGGGCTGCATGTTAGAATCCCCTGCAGATTTTTTCACAAAACCCGGGTCCCAGCCCTGAGGCTCTGAGGGAAGTGGGCCGAGGTGGGACCCCAGCAGCATTTTCATTGGTTCTTCCAGGTGATGCCAATGTGCAGCCAGGCTTGAGAAGCACTAGTTTGATGGGAGGGGGGAGTAAGGGAACAAGACAGGGTCCGCGTTCCAGGGTGACCCACAATCCCAGTTTAACCAGTCTGGGTGGGATCCTAGATTTGTGGTCCTAAAACCAGGGCTGTCCCAGCAAACCAGGAGTCCGTCACCCTGTGCGTTCCCCGAGCCACCTGCGTGATATTCCACTCTGCCAGCCACACCCTTGGTCCTGGCCACTTTTAGAGGAAGGGGTGCCACTGCCTTCAGGAGAGACCCAGGGGTGCCTGCTGCAGGCCTGGTGTGTCAGAAAAGGGACAGGGCCACAGCTGGACCATGTGGAGGTGGGGTAGGGCCCTGGCATCTGGCCAGGCATTTCCCCTGCCAACCTCCCAGCAGGCATGATTTTAACAGAAGGGTTTTCCCAAGTGGCTTGTGGGCGCTGCAGACTCATTGTGAGAGTCTTACGGGGTCAGATTGGGTTTGTTTCCTTCTCAGAATCCTCTCCCTGGCCGGGCACTATGTAGTGTACATAGTGTAAGCGGGCTGAGTGTCAACACGCGAGTAGCTGACAGTCGTGTTGGCTGGAAACAACCAGGCCTTCCCACACCTCCTGCTCCTCACACCCAGCACCTGCTCTGGTTGTGTGCCACGTGGATACACTTTTGTGACACAAGAAAAGCAGGGAGAGGGTTCCCTAAGGCCCTTCGCCTCCCTCCAGCCAACTCCCCAGCTGGGGTTTGGGGGCCACTACTCACACCACCTGGGCTGAGGGTTCATCCAGCCGCACAAATAAAAGTTAAATGGTCTCTGTTCTTCTACTGTGAGATGTTGCAAAAACGTCTAGCTCAATAGTAGGCAAACTCCTTAGTCAACAGAGCCAAACATCAACAGTACAACGATTGAAATTTCTTTTGAGAGCCAAATTTTTTATTGTAAAATATATTTTATTGATTTTTTTTTACAGAGAAGAAGAAAGAGGGATAGAGAGTTAGAAACCTCGATGAGAGGGAATCATCAATCAGCTGCCTCTTACATACTCCCTACCGGGGATGTGCCCGCAACCAAGGCACATGCCCTTGACCAGAATCAAACCCGGGACCTTTTAGTCCATAGGCCGACGCTCTATCCACTGAGCCAAACTTGTTTTGGCGGAGAGAGCCAGATTTTTAAAACAACTTCTTCTAACGCCACTTCTTCAAAATAGACTCACCCAGGCCGTGGTATTTTGTGGAAGAGCCACACTCAAGGGGCCAAAGAGCCGCAGTTTGCTGACCATGGGTCTAGCTAACCCCAGTATCTTTTTACATTAAAATAGAATCTTTAGTTGGCTCATGCCCCCATCAGTGAAAAAAACCCTTTCCCAGCCTCCCCTGCAGTTAGAGAGGTCCTGTGATCCGCTTAGCAGCCGTTGGCTGTGCTGCTTTGGGGTTATGCCTTTCCCGCTGGTGGAACGCAGTTGTGATGACAGGAGCTGGAGCAGCCGTTTTGGACCACGAGGTGGAAGCTGTGAGAGAAGAGAGGGAAACCACTCCAGAGAGCGGGCCTGGGTTTCTGCGTTGGGGAGCTGCTTTCCTTGTTCCAAATGGCCTGTGTGCAGGCCGTTAGCGAGAGAGAAATACACTCCTTCGCTGGCCTTTGTTACAGTGTCCATCCCTGTATCTTTCCTCACACACTGCCTCACGTAGAAGCGGCTAGGTGGGTATGCATCCACTGCTAGCTTACGCTGGGATAGTTTGAGTTAAAAAGGTTGGCTCCTACTCTCCGGTAGGATAATCCTTACCTGTTCCTCCTTTTGGAGGGCAGATTGGAACACAATGATTGGAGAACACATGATTCGTGATTAATGTCTCTGCGTAATCAGGACTGGCAACACCCTAATCACATTAAAAAAAAAGGTTGGCTCCATGACCCAAGTCTGGGGGCACCTCTTAAAGAGACAGGCAGTCACCCAGGCTCCAGGGGAGCAGAACACGGCCATGCTGAGAGGGTCTCAGGGCTGCCAGGTGGAGAGAGGGGTCTTCAGGATTAAGATGCCAGCAGCAAAAAAAAACAACACATGGTTTCCATGAGTCCCCATCAAAAGCCCCAAACTCAGCTGCCTTACAGCCTCTCCCCCGGCCAGAGGCTGAGAACATGATGACTACGGTCCCATTGCTAAGGGGCAGAGTTGGAACTTGTAAGGTGACCAGATGTCCCGCTTTTGGCGAGACAGTCCCGATTTGTTAAAAATCAGGACTGTCCTGCCAAAATCGGGACGTCTGGTCACCTTAGGCTTGAGTCCAGGCATGTGTGATTCAAAGCCTGCACTTGCCTCTGAATCACACTGCCTCAAAGTCGGGGGCTCAGACTGAGGAGTGGGGGCCTCCAGGACCAGCTGCAGGCCCCAGCGAGGGTCCTTGCTCTGTCCTCATCTCTGGTATCATGGGAATAGGCGGGCAGGAAAGGTCTATGGCAGGGTTGGCGCAGGGAGCCCAGGGCCCTGGGATGACTGAGAGGACGGTCATTCCTGACTGGCGTGAGGTCAGCTCCTGTGGGTGACTCAGGGCTCTGCACGTTCAAGCTGGAGCCCACTCTTAGCTTTCCCAGCCCAGGTTTCCGTGCCGGCCTTGGGACACAGGCTGGGTAACCCTGCAGCAGGGTTCTGTTCTGTGTGTTGTGGAATGTTCGTCAGCATCCCTGGCCTCTCCGCACTAGATACCAGGAGCACCCACACCCGGCTGTGACAAGGAAAACTGTCTGCAGAGATGGCCAATGTCCCCCAAGGACACAGCATACCAAAGTGGAGAACGCTGCCCTCATCACCTTCTCTGTGTACTTTCTAGAAAGGGAAACTGAGGCCTACAGGACAGAGCTTACCCAGGGTTCCACACCCCTCAGCACCTACAAGTCTAGCACAGGCCCAGCGTCTCACTGCAGATACCAGCCACTCCTCGCTCATGGCTCTCAGCCCATGCGGCAGGGGGTGGGGGGGGGTGGGGTGTGTGTGTGTGTGTGTGTGTGTGTGTGTGTGAGGATGGGGGTAGAGGTTGAGGTGAGAGGTGAGGCAAGGGGAGGAAGGTGACAGTGAGGCTCCACAAGCACCCCTGGGGTGTAGGATAAATATGCCAGCTCCCTTGCTCTAAGTTGGAACCTAGTCTGTTACTCATCTCCTGTTTGGCTTCCTTCTGCCTTTGCTTCCTGTAGTTTCTTCCCAAAGAGACTGTTTCCACCCACATCCTAATCTCAGGTTCCCTTTCTAGAGAGCCCATGGATTGGGCCCGATTTGCTGCTTTCCCAGCATTCAGGGTTCTCAACCCCGTTTGCACTCCCCAGTGTTCCCAGGCTAAGAAGCCAACAGACTGCCCGTTCTTGCCCGATGGCTGGAGTCCCCTGGCCAGCGCAGGTGTGGCCATGAGGGTGTGTCCGGCTGGTGCTCACTCTGATGTCGGGTATCCTTTTTAGAACCACTTTACTGAGATGGAATTCCTACACCACACAATGCAGCCACTTACAGTGGACAATCCATGGTTTTCAGTACATACACAGAGTGGTCCCACCAGCACCACCATCAATTTTAGGGCGTTCCATTAGCCCAGGATACCCTGCACCCCTTCTTTGTTAATCCTAAAACTCCTCACTTCCCCCTCCCCTGGCCTCAGGCACCCACTGTTCCACTCTTTCTCCATGGATGTGCCACTCTGGACACTTCATATAAAAGTAATTACACAACACGTGGGCCTTTGTGTCTGGCTTCTCTCAGCGAGCATGTGTTCAAGGTTCATCCATGGGTTAGCCTGTCGGTACTTGTTCCTTTTTATCGCCAAACGACACTCCATTGCATGGATGGACCACACTTGCCTTATCCATTCATCCAATGACGGACATTTGTGCTGTGTCCACTTTTTGGCTCTTATGAATACGCTGCTATGAAAATACACTTTTCTTCAGTAAATACTTAGCAATGTAATCGCTGGATCAGGTGGTAACGCTGTGTGTCTTTTTCTTTTCTGCTTCAAATTTGCTTATTTATTTTTATTGACTTTATCGGGGTGACATTGGGTAATAAAATTATGTAGGTTTCAGGTGTACAATTCTATAATACATCATCTGTATATTGCACTGTGTGCTCCCCACCCTAGTCAAGTCTCCTTCCACCACTTTTTATTCCAACAGGGAGGAACTGCCAGACTGTTCTCCAGAGCCTTAGTAAATTAAAAAAAAAAAAAAAAAAAAAATTAATGGAAGCATAACATTGCATCCAAAAAAGTGCAAACTACAACTCCATGCGTTTTCACACACAGAGCGGTCCCATGTACCCACCCCCAGATCAAGACCCAGGCGGCTCCCAGCCTCCTGGGCCTCCTCAGGCCCCTCCCTCCAGGGGCACCTGCCTGCCTTCTAATGGCCCAGGCTTTGTTTTTCTTTTTGGATTTAAAATGTTCTTCACTCGATGAGGAGTGGCAGATCATTGTTCATAAACAACTTCCACCTCCTCTCCCACGGACCCCTTCTTCTTGTTTCCAAGCCCCAGGAAGGAGGTGGGAAAGCCAGGGAGGCTGAGTGGCTCAGGCTGGGAACATGCCAAGAGAGAAGCCACACCCCCACGTCTGGAGCATACAACCACCCGCTGGGAATTTTGGGGGATTTCCTCAGGTTGCAGAATCAGGAAACATTTCAAGTCCTTGGTCTTAGCTTGGCCTCAAGCTCCCACACTCAGCCTGAAACTGAAAGCAGGGGCTTGGACTGGACTGCTACGTCTCTTGGCTGGGATTTGGGCCTGGGCCGGACCCAAGAGCTTCCAAGGCGCAGCATGCCAGGCCAGAGAGGCACAGATGGTGCACCCTCATCCTTACATCGGAAGCCACCTGGAGAGCCCGGATGTCAGTGTGGCTGAGACACGGCTGAGTGGGAGTGGGAATCGGTCCCCGGGAGCACGCTCTTCAGAGGGAGGCCTTTCCAGGGCTGAGCCGAGGGAAAGCCATGGCAGGATGCTGTCAGACTGCAAGGAGGAGCCCCCAGAGGAAGCAGAGAGTGCCCTTTGCACCCCTCCCCACCTGCTCTCTGCACAGGGGGCTGGCCCGCATGGACCAATCAAAAGACTGGCTCCCAAGACCTCGGCTTCCATTGGCCAATGGGGATCCAGACAGGAGATGGGAAGGTGGATGAGACTGAGCTGGAGGTAGTTATTGATCTGGCTCCCTCCATTCATAATCAACAAATGAGGGACTAGTTAGTAAAGTGCTGAGGCCAGGTTTAATTCCGTGATGTTATTGCCCTCAGCCAGAGGGCCCAGGTGAACTGGACTCAACTTCCCTGCGATGCAAGGCTGGGTTCTGCTGAGGGAAAGGCACTGAGGGGTTGGGAGGGGGTTCGTCCATGTGACTGGGTCACTTGGATTTGCTAAATGACGCTTGTCTGGAGGAGAAACACTTCTGCTATCGTAATGACTGGAGGCGGTGTGCACGTTGAAGCTGGTGCCAAGATTAGACCCTTCTCCTCCTCCAGGGATGGAAAGGGAGTAATTCTCTCCTTGAATGTGTGCATTTCAAATAGACAACTCAAGTGCAGGAGGAGACCGTTTTGGGGCTGGAAATCTTTGCATCTCAAAAGGCAGAGAGAGGAGTTAGAAACTTTTCTCCAGCCTCAGTTGGAGCTCGGTGCCGCCCACAGCCCAGCTCTGAGCGATGAGCTCCAAGGCACTCACATCAGGCATCCCCTGTGGGAAATGCAGAATCTCAGGCCAGGCCCATGGAACTAGAACCTGCTTTCAGCAAGGTTCCTGCAAGATTTTTGTGGGGATACGATCCCCTTTCAACTCTCAATCAGTGGGTCTCACCTTGGCTGCTCCTTGGAGTCACCAGGTGCCTGGATCCCACTCCTGAGAGTGTGCTTAGTGGGTGGAGGTGTGTCCTGGGCATCAGACCTTTTAAAAACTCCCCAGGTGGGTGTCATATGCTTGCGGGTGAGAACCATTGCTCTGAGTCTGTTTCTCAGTCTTGGCACCATGACCATTGTTCAGAGTCATTTCATCCTTCCCCAGGGGCTGTCCTGTGCCTCGGAGGATGTTTAGCATCCATGGCCTCCACTCACTAGATACCAGGAGTGCCCCATTCTCCAGTTTTATTAACCAAAAAAGATCTCCAGACATTGCCAGTATCCTCGGGGGACCAAAGTCATCCCTGATGGAAAACCACTCTTCTGAATTCTCTCATAAACCTCCTACCAAAGCACAACCCAGTGGCTTTCCTGCTCGTTCCCTCTTTTTCTTCTCTTAGCTCTTCTTCATTTTTCTGGGGTTGACATTTTTCTAATGGGCCCTGCACTTGGATCCTCTGTAGCCGTGGTTCTCAACGTGAGTTCTGGGACCCACAGCATCAGTATCACCTAGAAATGTGTTTAGAATGCAGGTTCTCAGGCCCCATGCAAACCCACTGATCTGGAAAGTTTGGGGTTGGAGACCAGCAATCTGGGTTTCAAAAAACCCTCTGAGGAATCCGGTGGCATGCTAGAATCCAGCAACCCTGGGAGGGAATATTCTTGTCTCTCTTTCCATCTCGTGGAGGTGGGAACTAATGTATAAAAAAAAAAATAGCGTGAATTGCTCACGGTCCCACAAACTTTATTCTAGTTCTATCTTTAGCTCCAGTGCTGCCAAAGCAAATTCTGTAATAACAACAGTAATGTATTCTCTGTGGAGGTCAGAAGTTCAAAACCAAGGCCATGCCTCCTGTGATGGTTGTAGAAGAAAGTGTTTCCCTGCCCCCTTCAGTCCCAATGGCTGCTGAAATCCTTGGAATTCCTTGGCTTGTGGCACCGTAGCTCCAGTCTCTACTTCCATCTTTATATGGCCTTCTTCTCATGTTTCTGTGTTTCAGATCTTCCTGTTCTTTCTCTCATGGGGTACTAGCCCTTAG